GCTGTCCAAAGGCCAATTGACGACGTTTCTTATCTGGTTATGTTTTACTCTTTCTAATGATGTAGAGGAAATGTTCTTTTAATGTACCAGATAGATACAGAGGCAGGAGAAAATACGTGAGTAGAACGCTTAAGGGCCATATTATCCTCTTCAGCACACACTTCTATGCCAGGTGCCTACAGCTTCCAAATGGGCAGCAGAAAATGAACCCTAGGATTCCATAAAGTCTCTGGGAGCTGATAATGTAAACAGCAACCAGTGAACAACTTACGCAGTAAAACTATCTCCATTTCTGTCTCCTTGAAGTTCGGCATGCAGTGGACTGCAGTTAAGCATAGCAATCAACTGTGATAGGGGAAAGCCTCATTATAGAGCAAAGAAATAGCTTCAAGGCAGCAGAGAGAAGTGCTGGGAGAGAAGGTCAAAACAGGTGCAGAGAAATCCTGGAGGTTGAGAGTGAAGCCTGGACTCTGTCAGGGTGATTTTTAACTATCTTAATCAATCATGGGTGACAGCTTAATTGTTCCATTACTTCAATGTACACTGCATCATTTAAATATACATACAGAACACTTCACAGCTACAGAGAAATGCTAATTGATTCCTGCTGATGCTTTGGGTGTAATGTGCTTCCCTAACTGTGAATAGTTTACAAAATATGTCTGCCTGGTGGTGGGTCTACCAGGTTGATTGATTCTAATATAGAGCTGTCACATGACACACACGTGTATTATCACTGCCAGTATCACTACACACTTATCAATTTCATCTGGCTTGAATCATGCCTTTGCACGATAACATGCCCACTACAAATATGAGATCTGGCTGTCCTGAATTTGGACAAAATTTCCCCTCATTTACAGCTACTCTATCGATGTTAATTTGTTCATATATGTACATAAGGCTTCTCTATCTGGGCTGGACATCTTTGAAGACACTGTGTTCTCTCCTATTGTGCACTCAGTAAAAGTGGTTCATTGTCTGATAAGAACAGCAGCTTCCAATAATAATCTATGCACTGTTTCCAAAGGAACCAACTCTAAAACATGTACAAATCATGCATAGTTTGCATGTAATCAGTATTCTGTAGACTTGCTTATTTCCTCATAAGTCTTTTTGTTTAAAACCACTGTTATTCCATCTCAGTGTGACAGCCTTCCTGAAGATGCTTCTCCAGGTGAATCTAGCTGATACACAAACACTTCCTTCACTCCAGGTAGAGTAATGAGGCTGGGGTCTTTATTTTCTGTTTTTATTTTATCAGCCTGATTGTACAACCATCTTTTACATCATAAGTCACTCCACATCCTTTTAAAAAGGTAAGCTATTAGCATTATTTTTCAAAGTAACTTCATTCAATGAGCAAAGGTGCATTACCTTTACATAGGAGGGAAGGCAGTGCCACAGCCTCAGTCCACACTAGTAACCTTAGCTATAATCGGTTCAAACAAAGAGTTAAAGGAAGGGTAGAGCCTGTGGAATTATAGGGGTCACAAAGCTAATCGCATATACAGCATACCCGCCATGTGCACCACACAGGGGATGGGCTGAGCAAGCAGTATGACATCTGGAAAGCATCTTTGATTTATATCAACAGAAATAAACACAAAGAGGGGCAGCCCTAATGATTCTACTAGCTGCTTCTAAGTACCACCTTGTCAAAATACCCCTTCATCTATAGAGAAGGGTTACTTGGAAAGTATATTTTTTCTTTCTGTACTTAAAGAGCGTACATGGTTTGAATCAAGTTTGCAATGGCTGCCTGCATTTCCCTCAGTGCAGGCAATTGCTGATTTATGAGCTTAGAGCTGATTATGTAACCTCTGGCTCATACTCCCCCCAATCCCCCAAATTTTAGACCACTGCTGATCATTAAAACTCACATCTGAACTCTAATTCCCAAGCACACCTATTTGTCCCAGCTTCTCAATTATTCATTTCCCCTCCAATATGTCACCTCATCCCTGAATCTGAGACTGAGAATCTCAACTACCTTCAGATACTCCCATGGCTACAATACCATCAAACATGCTAGAAAAACACCTCACCTGACTTAGCCTAGGCTTCAGCATCTCATGTCTCTGTGCCCCAGGTTCATAAAATGTATTACAACATGTATCTATTTGGATATTCTCATGAATTTGCAGTATAGTGCTTGACCTGAAAACCTTGAGCCCTGGAGTTCATCTTATTGATATTTCTTGTGTTATCACTTAGGCATGAACCCAGCACTCCTAAATCATGTGAAAGTCAGAAGCTGCCTAACTTTGTAGATATAAGTGGCATAGCAGAAGTAGAACCACTTCTAACAATTAATCCTAATTTGCACCATCTTGGATTATTCTCTATTATGCCTTTCAATGCCATCTATAAAGGGGTCTGTGTCATATGCATTTTATTTACTCTTTAAGGAGTAGTAGTCTTTGTCTGTGAAATAAGAATTACAATCCTCTTCTTTTCCTTTTTAATCTTTTCTGCCATGAAACTTAGAGCTAAATTAAATAATCATTCTCAGAGAACACGTTGGCTATATAATTGTGATCTCTTGCCACATTCCCCTTTCATGATCATTATTTTCTGTTTTTATTTTATAAGCTTGATTGTACAACCATCTTTTATATCTTAAGCCACTTCATGTCTTTTGAAAAAGCTAAGCTATTAGCATTATTTTTTCCAAGTAACTTCATTTGATGAGAAACACTAAAAAACTTAAAATCTTAAAGTCCATATCTTAGAAATCATCATGTATAATATACATTCAGATATCATCATATATAAAATAAACTCATCATGTATAACATAAACCCAATCATCCATAAAATTGGGAATATACAAGTTTTTAATTCAATACAATAATTTCAATTATAGAAATTATTTATGTGAGCATTTAGGTGGTGAACAATCTGAGGGTAATTCACTATTGGCATGTTCTGTAACACCAAGAATTTTACAAGACTTAATTTATAGAAATAGGGTTGATTAAATAACCATAATGAGAAATATCTTACAAATCAAAATTTAAAATGTGTAAGGTAATCAGAAAATGGATTAGAATGTCCAGTTAAATTATTATTCTATAATAATCTTATCTGTTATACATGCTTCCCCTCTTCCCCCCATCTTTTGCTCATTTACATTAGTTGTTTGGCTGTAATTAGACTTGAACTTTTCAGTTTCAATGAAGCTTTACATAAGAAAACATTGTGGGGGAGGGGCAAAAAAAATATCTTCCCAAAGGCAGTATGTGAAACTAAACACTGTTTGATTTACATAGAATTATCTTCTCTCTCAGCCTGTGATGAAGACTTGGCTATTGTGGAACTCAAATCTGTGTGTATTGCCTTTTGATTCATAGCAGAGGACCTGGCATCATATGAACAGAATTTACTGTGCCATGTGCCTCATGCCCTGGAAATCAATAGCTGGAATACAGAGGCGTCTTAATTAGACAGAACAAGGGTAGCAAGGTCTGCCTCCTTCTTTCCTTTATCATTAAAATGGCAAGTATCACAAAGCAGTGCTTGTTTGGAAGTCGCTTTGGAGCGGAGATCTCAAGTTGTGAGTTATTAAGTGAGAGTCACCATCAATGAAATAAAAAAATGGAGCACAGAGCTGTATAAGCAATAGCCTGTGAGGAGTGGAGATGAACTTGCTAAACTATTGACTGGTGCATTTCTACAGCACCTGTGTATTATCATGGGCTTGAAGAGTTGAACAGGGTATTGAATTATGACTGAAACACAGAAGAGTTATCCATCCTCCCTATCTGTTCCTCTAAACCAGTGTAGCACACATACCTGGTATTAGCCACAATGAGAGGAATTACCTAAGAGCTCAACTATGATCTCTCTTTGCAACACATCTGAAAATTAAGAATGTATTATAAAAGTCTTATAATGAAGAAGCTATCTTCTCCATCACTATTCAAAGCAATTATCAATCTTTTTCATCCTATGGCACCCATAAACTAATTACTAAAATTCTGTAGCACACTAAAACATATTTTTGCCTATTTAAAAAAAATAGATTAATTTTGATTCATTCACAGTAAATAGCTATTATTGTGTTGGCTGTTGTCATTTTCTTATTTGACAATCTAAGGGAAAAGAGGTCAGTGCCCCTGACTATGTAGCCAGGTATTGCATGTTTTAAAAAAAATTCTTGTGGCACACCAGTGGAAAATTGCTGACTGATCATAACCAAATACCAGTAGTAAATTAAAGATAAGATCCACAGAGTTTGCTCATGAAAATTTAAGATCAACTTCTCAAATTTGATTCTGCCTGGGAGAATCTCAAAAATTATTTTTTTGCTTTTACAAATGGTGAAGTGAAATAGAAATGAAAGTACACTGTCCCTCACAGAGTGCCCATATCTGGTACTAGTACTGTAACTGCAGGAGTTCATGTTTTATCCATAGAACTTAATAGATTTTAAATAACAAGTTGAACTTCAGCTAGCCCTATGTTAACTATAACCAAAGACTAAATGATTCTGACTGTGCTTCAATTAAATCTAAGCAGAGCTACTTTTTCTGAATCATCCTTTCAAATTCAAGTTTTATCTTTTTAAAGGGATGGAGCTTATTGATTTTTATTTTTTAAATACTCCTCAATGTTCCCTCTAAGTCATGAGTAAGAGGTTACTGGATGATTAGATTCACACACTCTCTCGACCTTAAGATAGAATTATGATGACCAGAGAAATTTATCCTCCTGGATGCCCTTTCACACAACATGCCAATAGGCCACAAAGCCACCACAATATACCATAAGATCCTTTGGAAAGCCAAGACTAGGTGAGGTGCAAATGAAATTTCAGGTGCAAATGAAGGTCCAAATTCAATAGGATGGCTTGGCTAGAAGACAAGGCCAACATTGTAGGGGGAATTAGCCAATGAGAAGCAACAGAAGTGTGCACAGGAGAAACACAAGAAGGGGTGTTACTGGTGTAGGGAAGCATGCACCCTTTGCAGCAAGAAGCTCAGGCTATAACCATACCTGGAGAACTGCTGCTGCAGGCCACGCATCTGAATCCGGCTGCGCTCCGACTCCAGTGTTACCTCCTGCAACCGCTTCTCACTCTGAAGACGTAAGTGTCTCTCCTCTTCCAATTCATGTATCAGCTTCTCGTGCTATAAAAGGCGCAAAGGAAATGACTTTTAAGAAGGTGTTTCTTAAATATTATGACAAAACAATAATTAGTAATAGATGTCGGTTACTAAGTGCTAACTTGGATTCTAAATATACATTAATTAATTTCGTCCTTGTTACAACCCCACAAAGTAGGTTCTATCATTAATATCTTATTATAGACAAGGAAACCAAGGATCAGAAACATCTAAGTAATTTGTCATTAAAAACCAGAGGATAACAGGTTTTCAATCCTGGCTGATTTGACTCTAATGCTTAAATAATTTCCCCTGAACCAGGTGGCTTCCTGGGCAGATATGAAGATCTATGACCCAATATTGCCATCAAGTGCATAATAATTCAAGTGATAATGACTGAGATCACTAATACCTGTCCAGAATTATTTCATGTCTTCACTCTCTGGTCTATGCTATAAAGGGAACATTACCGTGTTTATAGAATTGACAGGAATTTCAAGCTGATTACACCATGGAGCTCATGAGAACAGGTTAAAGAATGTTTTATTTTGTCCAATTAGGTTTTCACAGATAATAGGAGGCTAAATAAACTACCCACTGTATTTATAATCCCAGAAAACCAGCTCAGCTCACAAATGAGCATCAAAAATTAAAAGAGGGAATGGATGATCCAGAATAGATTTTCAGCAAAAAATCATTCCAGGAACTGGTAAAAGGCACACAAGATCAGATCCTCCTGACATTACCACCTGCATCATGCTAATGTACTAATATTGTTTTTATTTTGTTGTTGTGTCTGCCTTTTTTTTATATGCTATGCTATTATAGTTACTGTTGGTATTAAATTAAGCACTTTGCATATAGAATATACACTGAGTGGCCAGATTATTATGATCTCTGACTGTATAATAATCTGGCCACTCAGTGTGTATTCTATATGATAAAAGGCTAATATGCAAATAGCCCCTCAACCAGGAGTTCAACCAGAAGGCAGGCCAGCCAACTGCCCATAGCCCCTCCCCCTGGCCAGGCTGGCCAGACCCCACCTATGCACGGATTCATACACCAGGCCTCCACTGTGTGTATGAATCACACACACACACACACACACACACACACACACACACACACACACTGAGTGGCCAAATTATTATGTATTCAGAGATCATAATAATCTGGCCACTCAGTGTAAATGCTTTACTCAATTATTATATACAATCAACATTACTCTCTACATAGACACATTGGACTAATAGAAACATGAATATGTCACCTAAATTATAGAATTTGAAAGATTGCGCTTTAATTCCAGAAACAGACAATTAAAGTGGTATATTTTAAATTATTCAAAAGCATATCCTATGAACAATGTGAAATTTTGCAGAGAAACAGCATGCTTTCTTTCTTCTAAAGTAAAGCATCTTACATAGATTCACTCCCCACTATATTGAAGAACCCTTAACTCTATAAGAGGAGGTTTTATGGATAATATGGATAATCATTCCGTTCAATTTGTTAATGCCTTTTCAAATGATACCTGTACAACACAGAAAAAGTTCTAGGAAATTCTAAGACTGATAGAGGCAAAAGTTATTTATTAAAAGATATTTTCTTCAAAAGGAGTATGTTGCAGTTAAGCCAGCAAAGTTTGACAATAAGCCACATCTATTTTCCAAATCTGGAAAAACATTCTTTCCTAAATTATAAAACATGGCTAACAGGAGCAAGAGAGTAAATGGACTGGCCAGACTTTATTTATTTATTTATTTATTGTATTCGCTTTTCCTGGGTGTGAAAGCAATGTTGGCTTTCTCTCACAGGTTCACTCTGCATCTTTTACAGCAGGGAGCATGAAGGAAAGGGAGGAATGGAGAATGGTTGGGTATTGTTGATATGGTGCCACTGGGTACTGAAGAGCAGTAAGTAAAGTCATTGTCACAAAAACCTGGGTTACAGTATCAGTGGCAATATCTTTCCATTGATCCGCTGGGCTGGGCTGGCTTTAAGAAGCTATCTTAAGAGACTTGTAAGAATAGTTTTCAAAACTGGTTGGGCCTCACATTTGTATTTCTCCTTGTCTTATTGACTAAGATCATGTCTTCTGTTTCTCCTCCTTGGCTTTTCTTAACCTGACACCTAAATTGCTACCCCAGGATCACAAACACAGGCCTGGGCGGAGCCTAAGAAGAGACATTAAACAGGGGTCCACAGGAAGGTCTGCGAGCCACACCCTCCTCCCCTGCAGTGACAAGGACTTCATGTTATTCAGCTCAAAAGGAAGGTTTGCATAGTTTCCTCAACAAAAGCTGACTCCAAGTGTGTGAACCTTCTTTCCTGTGTTGTTCTCCAGCTTCTGTCTCTAATTCTGACCTAGTTCTATAAGAAAAATATTGAGCCGAAACCGGTTTGGCTCAATGGATAGAGTGTCGGCTTGGGGACTGAAGGGACCCGGGTTCGATTCCGGTCAAGGGCATGTACCTTGGTTGCGGACACATCCCCAGTAGGGGGTGTGCAAGAGGCAGCTGATCGATGACTCTCTCTCATCGATGTTTCTAACTCTCTATCCCTCTCCCTTCCTCTCTGTACAAAATCAATAAAATATATATTTAAAAAAAAAAGAAAAATATTGAATTTGGAGACCATATTACATTTTGTAAAGTGTTCTCATCTTCATTGCTGTATCCAGTCCTCAGAACAACTTAACAAAGTCAGTTGTTCCCAACTTCATTGAAAGCTTTTTAAAACTAGGATCAAGAGAGAGAAGGAATTTGTGGAGGTTAGTAATTACAGCTCTGGGATCAGAACCACATTTTTCAGGCCCCACGTCCCCATTCCCTGCCTACTATGGTCAGTGCTAACACTTATTTTAAAGGTGCACATTTATTTCAATGCAGTTGATATACTAAGAAAATTTGAGCATCACACAAATATCACATTTTCTTATGCCTAATTTTATTCATGAGAAACATGAGTCAACATGGAAAACTACATCCCACTCAACCTAACACAGAAATAAATACACAAAACACCCGCATCTCAGAGATTGACAGGCACCTCAGTCCTCCCAGCACGTGGTAAGCCATTGTCATCTGCAGATGGAGGTGCAGATTGCCCTGGGTTCCAGCCTTCCTTCTGCTGCTTCACAGTGGCTCAGGCTGCCAGGGAGTGCTCTGACGAGCACACTGTGTACTTTTTTGGGGTGAAGTGCCATATTTAGAAAATCATTTCTATATTTCTTAGTCAATTAACACATGCAAAATTAGCTGCCCTTTTTATTAGTTTTTTTCCCCTCTTTTTATTTTTTAATGCATCACTGACAAAACTTCATTTTCCCACAAGTCCTGTGCAGGGATCTTTAGGAATGCATCTGTCATGTGATACCTCATGCTGGAAAAAAAAAACGAAATCTGAAACAAGGGTAGAATTCCAATGTTCAAGTCTTTGTCACCGCAGAAGATCTTGTCAGTATCTATAGCCTTCACATAGACCTTAAACTTCCTCCAATTTCAGTACTGTCTTCTGTCTAAACCTCCAGGGAAGGTGACTGCATAATCTCCCTTGATAATCCATGCTATTTTTTCTAAACTCCTTTTCTGACAATTTTCTAAGACTTGCTTAAATTGTTTCAAGAATCAAAAGCCATCTTCATATTCCCATGATATACAGAAAAATCTACAGATTTGACATTATTTTCTAATTTAATAGAAAGCTCCACTTAGCAACGGAGCTATAGACACACCCTCATGGACTTATTCATTTGCTCAAATCACACCTGTTTACTGAGCAGCTACTATGTGCCAGACACTGGATCAGAGCAGGAGACCAGAAATGAGCCAAATAGACATGGTTTCTCACTGCAGGAGACCTTTACACAAGCAGGGAGGGCCGGTGCTAAACAGACTGTCAAAGATAAACATATCAGTAAACACTAATGGAGAATTCGGGTTTGCCAAAAGAAGACACCAAGAGGAACTGGTTCTGTGTTAGGGGAAGGCTTCTCTGGGGAATTCACATAGAAACTGAGGCCTCTGTGATGAAGGAAGTTACCAGGTGAAGAGTAGGGCCCATCTCTCTAGACAGGGGGAGCAGGAAGTAGGGGGAGGTCTTTAGTCACATACGGAAGAAGAAACAGACTAGTGTGCCCAGAGCCTGGGGAGCAAAGGGGCAGGGAGGCATATGACAAAGATGAGAGAGCATGAGTGAGGCCATGGATGTGAAGGCCATACCAAGGATGTGGCATTATATGCTGAATAAAATAGTAACTCATGACCAAGGTTTAATCAAGTGAGTAATGGGGCCTGATGAAGATTTTGCAAGGATCATCTGACTACTGTGTAGAGAAAGAACTGAATGAAGAAGCCAAATAGCAGAATGGCAAAATATTTAAATAGAGAATGGTGAATGGTACTAACTTCTGGTTTAGAGTCCACTGTTTGATAGTCAAGCCCCCTAATCTAAAACTTAACTGTTTACGCTAGTTTCCTTTATAAGTCAGGGAAAGTAAAAGTGCCCAAAACAATTTCATAGTATCACCATGAGGAATCACTGAAATAATGCAAAGTGAGCACTATAACAACCTGAAAGTCCCATAAAAGAATAAGGTCTGGCTAACTGGGATTGTATAGCTGATATTGTTTATTAATAATATAGTTTAGCTACTTTTGATCAATTCTATATAGATTTTAGTCTTTAATGATCAGTCCATCCTGTCTAATAAAAGAATAATATTCAAATTAACCATCATTCTGCTATACCCACAAGCCACATCCACCAGCCAATAAGGAGTGAATATGCAAATTAACCCAACCAAGATGGCTGTAACCATGGAGAGAACTGGAGGGAGGTTTGGGTTTTTCTGGTGATGGAGGAAGCCAAGCTTTCCACACAACCCTGGCTGGCCCAGTCCTCCGCTTAAGGCTACAAAGTTTCAATTATAGAAGATAAATAAATCCCAACAGAAATGGCTGCCGCCACAAAGCTAACAGAAGGCTTGGCTCTGCTCCAGGCTATAAAGTTTCAATTGT